GCACATGAATCTCGGGCGCTGGCTGGCTGCCTGCCTGCGACTTTTTATTTTTTATTTTTTTGAGTCAACGGATCACGTCTCAGCCATAACTCTCACTTCAAATGATAGTTGAGCAATTTAATCTGACAAATCTAAGAACTCAAAGAGGAAATTGCAAACTAATGTGAGCTGCAAGCTGAGAGCAGGATTCAGGAATGAGACCGCGTGAGTCTTTTTAGCTGAGTGGCTTTGGGGACAGGGAGCGCCTCCCTCAGTGGGACCCCACCCCTTACCTCAAGCAGATGCCCGGCAGGGAGTCCCTAACCTCCTCTGCTGGCTGTGTTTAGGCACAAAGGGACGGGGAGCGGGGGACACACTCTTGCTGTGAGATGCAGGGAGCTGCCAGGGGAAAGCATTGCACCGGGGTTCTCACTGCCCTGACTTGGATGGGGGCTGCACTGGATTCCTTCCCTCCCTCCACCCTTGCGAATTTTGCAATTTGTTTTCATTGTCTGAGGACTCTCAAGGGCTGGTGATGTACAGATGCTGCCTGTCAGGAACAAAGGAAACTCCCAAGGGCCAGGACACGTCGGGGAATCTCGGAGCTGATTTCTGAACCCCAGGGGATGAAGACGCAACTCCGGGGAGACCAAGGCTGTGCGGGAGCCCAGGCCTGTGCGGGGACGCTCGAAGGTGCACAGAGCTGGCCTGGCTGGGAAGCGCTCGGGGGGATTTGCAGCAAAACCCTCTTCCTTTGTTCAGTGCTTCAGCTCAGCAGGCAGCGGGGGCAGCCTCTCTCACTTGGAATCTGTGGTCCGCACGCCGAGAGGAAGACAAACCTCGCAGCAAAAGGACGCCAACCATGCCTGTGACCCCAGCTTTTGTCCAGAGAGGGGAGCTGTGTGCCCGCCAGAAGGAACACCCCCAGGCCCTTGGGGGACATTCCTGCAGAGGACAAGTCCACACTTCTTACAGTTTTCTGGGTCTGGGTCAATCTCTTCAAACTCAAGGGGCAGGGAACATGGAAAGGGCAGCCTCAGCCCAGGGAGTGAGCGGAAGGACACGAGGTCAGGGAGTGTCTGATGCTCGCCCCAAATTTCTCCTACTGCTTCTTCACCCCAGTGCCAGCCCGAGCACCCACCATGTGCAGCCGGAAAGGTGTTTGAAACCACCTCATTGGTCCATGCTTCCTTGCTCTGTCCTTCAACCAGAAGGAGGGGCTGGTCACTCCAGGGACCAATCCGCTTTTACGTGACAGAGATATTGCCAAAGGCGCGGAGGAAAGCAGGGCTCCCACGGAGGCGAGAGCCTCTGATGAAAAGTTTTCTTCCCTGATGCCTCTGCAGTCTTTACAAGCATCACAGGCTCCTGCTCCCCAGCCAACTTCAAATAACCAACTAGTCCCTCTTTCCTGAAACACAGTGTTACACAAGTCACGTTAATCAAAGGTCACAGGTTGGGGGAGAAACAAAGTAGCAACAAAAGCAACTTGTCAAATTCTGCTGCGCAATGTGTGTCCATTTGGTCGTAGTGAACTCACACTTGGCGGTGCACTGACGGATGTGGAACCTGGCCTCTTGCATTTCTTTTCAACGACATAGAGCGTTTTCACGTGTTTGATTTAGCCGCCGAGTCAGCCTGTCACAGGGACAGTCACTGCACAGTCTGCGCCCAGAACACTGCTGGGCTCACACCTGCTGCCTACAATCATCCACAGTGGCCTGCCCCCCGCAAGCGTCTTGGTTGGAGGATAATTTCTATGCTCACCCTGAGGGTACTGTCCCTCAGGGAGGTGTTGGGCTTTCCTTTCCTTTCTGGAACGCACTTCCTTTCCTTAACCAGGAGGTAAGGACCATTCGCCCTCCAGATTCGGTGCAATACCTCCTTCCCGGTGACACACACGCTCACGCCCTCATCTCCACCCTGAAGTGACCTTTTCCTCTGGGTGGCCTAGACCCTGGCACCTTTTCCCCTCACAGCACAGCTTTCATCATCTCGCCTCCAGGCAGTGCCCCTCAGCACCCTGCCCGACCATGTCAAGCCTCGCGAGGCCCCAGTGCCTCTCAGCTGCTCAACGTGGCGGCTCCAACACCTGGGGGACACGCTCCTCAGAACCCTGACGGACACCCCAGTGCACCGCCGAGCTGCCCCGCAATGTCTGAGCCAACTCCCCGGATTCGCAGTTTGAAAACACAGGGTAGTTTGATGAATGACAATCTGTGTGATAGATGAAGCAATGGGCAACGAAATGAAATAATTTCCTCTATGCTCGCTGCCCCATCCTGGAATGTGTGTGGGTGCCCTTTGCTCTCTGCCCGCTTGAAAACGCCCATCTCAGTACAGGTCCCACGTCCGTGATGATGCCAATCTCCTCCTCCCCTCATCTGGGGCATGCGTGACACATCCTGTGGGTTTTTACACGCGACGATAGGTTGATTTTTAGCCTCAAGTTTTCCTCATTCGATCTAAACAGAGGCAAAAGAATATTCACAGGATATCTGCAAGCAAGAATCATAGCCAATAGAGACCTGTGTTGGGGGAAAGGAATATCCTTACTTTCGAAGTCTGCTATTCCTTGATTCTAATCCCTCCCCTCTCAGGGGGAGTTACAATTTAATTTTGTTTTTGTGACAACTTGTCAGGCGCACTAGTGTCTGCTCCATCTGAGCCGCTTTGAGCTTTGCAAATACAGAGTCACCGTCTGCGTTCTTCTGCAACAGCCGTTTACTCACAGCCGTGTTCCGGCGAGCCTGCGTGCAGCAGCTCTAACTCATTCGTCGCCGCCACGGGGTCAGGCTGTCCGGTATGAACGCCCCAGGTTACATGTATTTCTATTACTTCTATTATCTATGCTGGAATAAATGTAGTCTTCGAAACGTCTGCCAGGCCGGTAGGTTGGGGAGACTGTGTCGTTGTAGTTTTACTTTGTCTATTTCCGCTCACTAATGCCTTGGCCATCTTTTTATACATAGACGGGATACTGGGCATTCCTCGTCTTAGAAGTACCTACTCAAGTGTCTTTCGGAAATGTTCTATTGTTACTCGTTTTTTACTTTAGATTTGTGGGAATACTTTAAACTCTGGATATTAATCCTTTGCCAATGGTAGTATTAAATATATCTTCTCCCCATTGGGAGCTTGTAACTTTACTCACGTTGTTAAATTCTGTCAAACAGAAGTTCTTCACATTAATGAAGGCAAATATTTTCCATCATATTTGAGAAATCTCTTCTTCCCTCCAGAGTCAGAGGCGTGTTTGTCTATTTCCTATCGAATGTGCTCTGAATTTTTTATGTGGGTCTTCTAATCACCTGGAATTGATCTGTGTATATGCCAGTGGTTCTCAACCTTGTCTGCACATTAGAATCAACTGGGAATCTTTTTAAAATCCTGATTTCATAGCCCCAGAAATCAGGATTTTAAAAAGATTCCCAGGTGATTCTAATGTGGCAGCAACGGTTGAGAACCACTGGTATACGCTGTGAGGTAGGGGTCCAACTTTGCTCCATTTTTAACCATATGATAACCCATCGTGCAGATCTCTTTCCAATTTATTTCTACTGTTGTCATGACTTCCTACTTTTTTTTTTTGTCTTTGCAAGACAGTGTTTTTTTTTTACTACACTTCTCGTTTAGTGCAATTAATGTTTATGTAGAAATATTAACCTGGACCACTTGGTTTTCTTATCCCTTTTCCTTGTAGCTGGGGTCATTTTTATTCTGCTTAAAGTGCATTTTTTAGAATTCTATTTAGAGAGGGCCTGCTGGAGGCAAACTTCAGTGTCCGCTTTAAAACTTATTTATTTTGTCCTCCTTTGACAAAAGTATTTCTGCTATAAAGAAATTTGACAGTTAATTCATCTCCGTGTGGAAGGCTGTTTTCCATCTTGCTTCTCGGTTGACACTGACAGGTCACCGCTGGCTTGCCTGTCTCTGTGAAGGTTGTCTGTGTTACAGCCTTGGCTGCTTTTACGCCCGGGTCTTCGGCCGGGTGCTGATCCACGACGACCATTCTAAATGAGGCTTGATTTTCATTTGTCCCGCTTGCGATTCACTTCACCGGCTTCCTCAATCTATGGCTTGGGATTTTCAGTTAACTTGGGAGAATTCTTAGCCTTCTCTTTAATATTGCCTCTTCCCCATTCTCCCTCGCCTTGCCTTGCAGAACTCTGATTAGATATGTGTGAACGTTTTCTCTTAATTGGTTCTCTCTCTCTCTCTCCTCCTCCTTTGAAAAAGTCACTCAGCACCACGACGATTATCAGGACCGGGTGGTTATTTGTGCCTGGCAGCCCCTAGCAGGAGGGAAGCCAGCTTAGCTCTGGTTACACCTCCTGTTGGGACGGAGGCCCGGGATTGGTGTATTCCCGGAGGCATCCCCATGTGAGCGCCTCCTCGTGGCTGAGCTGAGGCTCTGTCCTGCGACCTCTGACCCCTGCGGGGCTGCCCGGTCTAAGATCCAGCTCACAGGGTTCCTCGGGGTGTAAGCGTTTAGTGTCCGGCTTCCTGCTCCGGGTTCCAAACCCACTTCCTCTATGACCTCTGAGTATTTCTGACTTCCCTGCCAGTTTATGGATGCATTTTAGTAAGTTGTTGTTGTTTTGTAAAAAGGACATTATAGCCCGGCCGGCATGGCTCAGTGGCTGAGCGTCGACCTATGCACCAGGAGGTCAGGTGCGGTTCCTGGTCAGGGCACATGCCCGGGTTGCGGGCTCCATCCCCAGTGGGAGGCAACTGATCGATGGTTCTCTCCCATCATTGATGTTTCCATCTTTCTCTCTCTCCCTTCCTCTCTGAAATGAAAAGAAGAAAAGGAAAAGACATTGTGAAGAAGTGGGAGGGCTTCCAGGGAGAGGGCCAACCAGGACACGGGCTCCCGGCTCTGCCTGGAGCGGGAAGGGGCCTGGACTTCTCGGATCACAGCCTCTCCCTGGCGTCCAGGACAGCCCGGGAGCCGGCCTGGGGGCTCCGTGTGCACTCGGTCCACCTTGGCCCCAGAGAGCGCCCGCGCGGAGACACACCTGATGCGAGGCCTCGGGTTCCCTCTCACTTGACAGGTGAGCTTCACCTTCTTCTCCTCGGAGCCCACGGGGAACATGACGGGGCCGGGCTCCTGCACGAACACCGGGCCGCGCGGCGTGGGGTCGCCTGGAACGACAAGAGAAAGGGTCGGAGGATGAAGCCCATCGCCCGACAGGCCCGGAACCAGCAGGAACCACCACCCAGTGAGACAAGGGGACAGACGGACAGAAGCAGCGGTCGTGCAGGGGGCTCGGTTTCTGCCTCGGACGACATGGCCCCAGGGCGGCGCGGTCTGTCCTGGAGGCCTCACGGGGGTGCAGACGCCCGTTTCCCGAGAACGTGCTCTTAGGAACAGCTTCCAGGCACAGGAACAGCATGACGGCCTCTCACCCCCTCAGCAGCAGGACACGGCCCGGTTCTCATAACCCACGTACAAGCCATTCTCACAATCGGCTGTGCAGGGGGTTCGTTTCTCTCCCGCCTGTGCTGGACCTGCCCGGGGATGCGGTGCCCCCGCTGTTGGCGCCATCGGGCCCAGCACAGTCAGCAACACCCACCTGGTCTGCCGCTGGGCCAGCCGCATGTGACTATGGAGTGATGTGTGCGTTTCTTTTTTTTAATATACATTCTTAAAATATATTTTTTATTGATTTCAGAGAGAAGGGGAGAGGGAGAGGAGAGATAGAAACATCAATGATGAGAGAGACTCATTGATCAGCTGCCTCCTGCACGCCACCCACTGGGGATCGAGCCTGCAACCCGGGCCTGTGCCCTGACCGGGAATCGAACTGTGACCTCCTGGTTCATAGGTCCATGCTCAACCACTGAGCCACACCAGCCGGGCACAATGTACACATTTCTAATTGCTTTCTCTCAGTGAGAGAAGCTGGCTGCGCGGGACGTACTTGTCATGAACGGCAGCCGAGACCAGAACAATCCGCCGTTGGCACGCGGGGCGGAGTGTGGGAGGCGTGTGCTTCTCTCTGGGGGAGCCCATCATAAAGACGGCCCCAAACGCATCTCACCACCCTCGCCCATGAAAGAGAGGCCGCTCTTCAAAATCTAGTTCAAGTTCTATTTTTTTTCTATAAGGCTTTTCTAGACCTTCCCTTTCTTCCTTTAATCACATGACTCCTATATTATATGCCCCTGTGGACATATATTTTTTCTACTAGTTTAACTAGTTTTTTCTTCTTTGGACTGTAAGCTCCCCGGGAGCATGGCCGCCTCTTACCCACTGTTCTGTGTCCTGTGCTACGGCGGCTTATACAGAGAAGATGGTCAGCAAGGATTGGTTCTATTTGAGGGCAATTTTCCACTTTTTAATGTGCTCCATCAGCGGGCTCAGGCACTGCCTGAGGAATTTTCCGGTAGAAGGGCCAGTGGCTATAATGTAAGTGACACCGAGTATCTCCCCGGAGCTGACAACCCATTTGCCTCTTAAATGTGTGGATGGTGAAGGCTGTGAATTGCACCTGCAACGCTGGTGCCTCGAAAGCAGCCTTTTGTGGATGGGAGGTCGGATGAGACGGGGCTCACGCAGGTGAGCGGGGAAAGGAGGCAGGAGGGGGCCGGACAGCATGAAGTGATGCAGAGGGAGGCAGTTTCTGTCCAGGCTTTTAACCCATCCACACGCTGAGATCCGGACTGGAGACAAAATAAGGAGACGAGATGGCCATGGGGCATCCTGCTTCATCAGAGGCACCGGGACAGCTGAGGACCTCGTGAGAACCAGATGTGGACGCAGGGAAACCACGAGCTGACACTCGATGCCTGGGGTCACTGGCTCACCCGTGACCCATGCAGACTCCCGTCTCCCTACACCCGACGGTCTCCTCTCCAAAGTGATAAGGTCACAGTGGCTCCACACAGTTCACAACAGGCAAGGGGCCAGGCTGGTGGGGCTCAGTGGAGGAGCCTGGACCTATGAACACCCACAGTTCGATTCCCGGTCAGGGCACATGCCTGGGTTGTGGGTTCGATCCCCAGTAGGGGGTGCGCAGGAGGCAGCCAATCCTCGAGTCTCTCTCATCATAGATGGTTTTATTTCTCTCCCTCTCCCTTCCTCTCTGAAATCAATAAAAAGATATTAAACAACCAAACAAAACCCCCAAAAAGAACCGAAAGGGGCCCTGAGTATTTTCCCATAAACCCACATGCACGTGAACCTACATTCAAAGATGTCAGGAATTACATCACCACCACCATCCTCTCTCCTCAGGCCATGGAGCAGCCAAAAAACAAAATAAGAGCGAGGGAGGAAAGTGCACAAACAGGCACTTTCTTTCTTTTTCTTTTCTTCTTCCCCTTCTCCTACCCCTTCCCTTCCTGCTCCTCCTCCTCCCCCTCCCCCCCTCCTCTTCTTCTTCTTTTGTTTTTGTTTTAACATTTATGATTTAAAGCCAGGTATTTAAAAATCCAGAACATGACATGTCAGATTTCCAACCATCGCACAGATGTTTTCAAAACAAATTTAGATCCTGGGTCAAGGTTAGCTCAATTCAACCGTGAAGAATTCTGGGAGTTTCTGGCACATTCAGTTACATAACAAGGGCTACCGCCCAGATCCCTGTCACAGCAGTGCGTTGGGGGTTTTTCTCTAAGCGAGGACTATCTCCATAGTCGTTCCCATTCCCAAGCTCTGTGTGCGTATGATATCAATCACCTCCATTCATTGGAGGGTCCCGATCTGCATGTCACCCAGAAATAGACAGTCGGTTACAAGCAATTCCCAACACGAGCAGCACACGATAGCGGTTACCCGGGCGCGGCTGAGAGGCTGTGGCCCAGCCGCCGTGTCCCTGCCCCATTCACCCGACAAAGGGGCGATGCCTGCTGTGTGCGCTGTAGCAGGCACTGGTGATAAGGATGCTCCGCACTGGCTACACATAACGCCCCCGGCCGCCCAAAGTTTCATTTGCTCCCGATTAACCACACTCAGGGCCCGCAGGTTCATGGGAGCATCGAGAGAAGTGAGTTTCCGTCCTCAGCCAAGGAGGCCCACCGCCTGGCACGCATGAGCCCCGCGTTTCAAAGGTGAGAGGGGAGATTTCCGCCAGGCGAGCTACCAGGTGTCGAAAGCCAATATCCTAACAGTAACATGTTTAGGCTAGGGCACCAGTATTGATGAGAAACAAAGAGTTACAGAGGGACATTCCTGGAAGAAACAGGGAGGGAGGTAGCGCTAAGCTGCTTCTATCCTGAAGGTCCACAAAGACTTTGCATATGGCTTGGCTGGTGTGGCTCAGGTTGAGTGTCAGCCTATGACCAGGAGGTTCAATTCCTGGTCAGGGCACGTGCCTGGGTTGTGGGCTCCATGCCCAGTAGGGGGTGAGCAGGAGGCAGATGATCAATAATTCTCTCTCATCATTGATGTTTTTTCTCTCTCCCTTTCCTTCCTCTCTGAAATAAATAAAAACACATATCAATCATGTTGCATAGGCCATTTCCAAAGCCTGGATGATAAAGTGCCCCCTTCCTTGATCACGGTCATTTGTTCAGTGTGGCCCGAGGAGTGGCCATGATTTTCAGCCGAGAACAACAGAGACCTCGGGCGGTGGTGCCCTCACTCAAGGACGCAGGCCTCGGCCCACGCGGTCGGGTCCCCGGCAAAGCCTGGTGCCTGGGGGACGGTCAGCAGAAGTGGCACGCGGAGAGGGTCGCGGGGCTTGGGAAAACCCAGGGATGCGGAATGCAGCTCCTTTTTATTTTATTCAATTAATTAATTTTTAAATAATATATTTTTATTGATTTCAGTGAGGAAGGGAGAGAGACAGAAACATCAATGATGAGAGAGAAGCATGGATCAGCTGCCTCCTGCACGCCCCCTACTGGGGATTGAGTCCACAACTGAGCTTGTGCCCTGACCTGTAATTGAACCCTGACCTCCTGGTCCATTGGTCCATGCTCAGCCCCTGAGCCACACAGCCAGGCGCATCTGTGATACTCCCCCCACTCCCACCCCCTAGGCCGCTGAGATGGGAGGGAGGGCGGAAAGGGGCAAGTGGGTCAGACAGCAGGTGATCTCAGCATAAAGATGCCACAGAAGGCAGCGTAGTAAAAAGCCAAGGTTTGCCTAGAAGGAACTCCTCCAAGTGTGGTCTAGCGCAGCGTGCATGCAGAGGGCCTCACACAACCACAGCGCTCGGCCTCACACAACCACAGCGCGCGGCCCCGCTGCGTCTCCTCTGCACCGTACAGCCCTTGACGCCTCGGGAGAGAGGATGCTCTGTGCGCCTCTCATCCCGGATCCCGCTGCCCTCGGATGCAGAGCAAAGCCAGGCGCCAGAGACCAGGAAGGGCCGCCCTCTGTCGCTCCAGGCGTTTCTCCTCTCACCACTCACATCCACGGGGAAGCCGTGAGGGGACGTAGTCTTTTTATTTATTTTATTTTTTAATGTTTATTGTTGAAAGTAGTTCATATGTCCCCCATTGACCCCTTCTAGCCTGCCCGCCCCCGCCCCAGGCCTTCACCCCCTATTGTCTGTGTCATGGGTGATGCATCTATGCACACAGTCCTTTGGCCGACCTCTGCCCCCCGCCCCCACCTCCCTCTGAGGTTCCGCAGTCGGTTCGATGCTTCTGTCTCTGGGTCCGTTTTGCTCATCAGCGGGCTGTGCACTAGATTCCACAGGCTGAGACCGTGTGGTGCTTGTCTTTCTCTGACTGGCTCATTCACTGAGCTCGATGCTGGGAGAGGTGTTCTCCATTCTGCCCCGGAAGGCTGGGCGCAGGGCCGGGTGCCGCGCTGCTGCGCGCCGTCTCCCCGCCTCCTGATGAGCATGGAGATGCGTTTTGGTGAAAAACTGTAAGGTCAGGAGCGTCGCAGTGAATCCCAATGACACACAAAGCATTTGGGCAATAACTCAGGGCTTCAGACACAGTGAAGGGCAGCTCCACTGATCTTCCGAGTGTGAGACGCCCTCGGAAATCGGACCACCGAGGGCGGAGGTGACCACGGGCAGCTGTCACACCATCGTCGCACACAGGACGGAGCGCCGGACTTCACAAAACGACGGGTGTGGACGGTGCCCGGGGAAGGCAGCCAGCACCGCATCTCCAGCGCTTCCACTCGGTTCCGCCCGGGGGTGCAGGGGAGCAGCGCCGAGGCAGCCCCATTGTCAGAG